GCTCTGTGAGTCCAGAGGATGTTGGGAGGCAGTCGGCAGGAATTAGAGCAGCGTCCATGATTGTGCTGACGTCTGCAAGGGGCTAGGCTGGAGATTAAGCCCAATAAAAATGTGTGATTTGTTGCTTTCATATTTGGAAGATGTCAGCTTCAATTTGAGCTAGCACGCTGCCTCGAGGCAGGCTGGGTGACAAATATGAAGGATGCACTGATGAACTGCTGGCAATCAAGTGTTAGTTCTCTCATCCACTATATGATGGCAATGAAAACCTCCACACATTGTTACACAGAGCTTTGGCCACGGCTAATGCTATCAGTTTTCTTTTTTTATATAATATCATAAATAAATCAAATAAAAAAAGAAGAGGATTTATTTATTCATCTTTTGTTTGCTTGTTATGAATCTATTATTCATTTTTCAGTCTATAAATGCTGCAGAAAAAGTGAGATTGTTCAGAATAACATTCAGTCACTGAGATAATAAATGTCTTTTGAGAGGTTATTGATTTGAATGAATAACATGTGAATGCAAAATAAAATATTTACACTTTACTTTGAAAATCCGGCATCAAAATACCATGTTGTACAGTAGGAATGACTCTGGTTTCCCTTTCCTGTAGTGTGCTATAGAGGTTTTTGTGCATGTTAATGGTCTGCAAGGGCTAAAATCCCAAAGTCCCCCCTCCCCGCCTGAAACACCTCCATTGATCTCCTTTGTTTACTTCAACAACAAAATGACATCCCTATGTAACACACGCGCTTCTATTGGCTAGCGCTCCAACACATTGTACGTGATAGGCTAAGGGGCGGGACATCTTTAAGCGGTTGAGAGAGCTGGCCAGCTAACCAATCAGAGCAGACTGGGCTCTGGTTTCAGACAGAGGGTGAACAGAGGGGCTGCAGCACAGGCAGTATGAGAAAAATAAAGAGCTTTTTGAACATTAAAGCATGGAGACATGTCCCAGTAGAGACACAACATACTGATATGAACCTCAAATGTAACATAATAGGGCCCTTTTAATATCAAACAGAATTAAAGAATAACACCAACAGCAAGTCAAAATAACCCCTTGACTTTTAATGTGTTATAAATCTATTTAAATTACTTTTAGTGTGTAGTAAAAGCCTACAGTAAACAATACCCCTTTTTAAAAGCAAGGCACTGGTGCATATCTGTTATTATTAGGCAATCATTGCAAGTTAATATCGCAAAGACAGAAATGGGCGAAGAGATGAGTCAAAATAAACAAATTAAAGAACTTAGAATCATCTGAATGTTATCAGGAGCGAGGAATTACTGTTTTGAGATTATGGAAGTTTGAAATTACCTCATGCATTATAACCGAAGCACTACCCCCAGTTTCCCTGAGTTTAATCCTTTTCCAAAGTGCTTCATCAACCTTCAGCATTTTTGACAAGACAGAGGTTTCAGCATGTATGATTAATAAGATACAAATGTGCAACTGATATTTGATAAATGAGTTTGGTTTCATATTCATGATGTACAATGAATATGCAGCACCAGGGGCTTAGGCCTACTTGATTGATCAAATGTATTCCATTCATCACTTATTTTTGCTTAATTAGCATATTTGAGGCAACACCATTAACGACGGAGGACTATGGGCTATTTGGAAGATATGATGTATGTAGCAGAGCAGACATACATGCATTCCTCTTTGTCTTGTATGAGCTCACATTCTCGGGAGGCTGAATTCATTATAAATCACATTTTACAGCTTATTATTTAGCGAGGGGGGGGGGGGGGAGAAGAGGTACAGCATTTAGCCACATCATTCATCACTGCTTTTGTGTTCCAAGTATTTGCTCCTCCACTTTTTGCGGTTCAGTACATCTGCAATAGTACACTGCAGGTGAAAATGTCCCAGCGAAAAGGGGAGGGGCGAGATGTAATGCTCTTTCTGGGATATTTCTCAGAGGGACGTAATAACCTGAGGACTTTGGGGAGAATAAATGGGAGAAAAGGGAGTTAGGATGTGGGTCATTATAGCTATAAGTTCTAAAGCCCTTCATTAAACACACGAGCTAGTCATTACCCTGCTGCTGTGTGATGAACATTTCAAACCCTCCTCCCCCTCGCCGGTTTACAGGCCAGATGATGCAGAGAATCCACGCTCGTCTGGCACACGGCGCAGTAAACTCAGGCTCAGTATAAATGTTGTGTGTGAATCCAAGCAGGCAAAATACTGATGCACATTTGCCCTATTACAGCACATCAGCATCAGGCGGACGCACGCCACTGCAAAGCAAGGAGCGCACACTTATCATTATTTGATAGCATGTTTAATGACAGATTGACAAAGGGTTTGCAGATGCGAGCTGGCGTCGATTGTGCTAAGGTCGAGGTTTCGCAAAGCTAGTGTACTTATAGGCGTAATTTGATTTTTCAACTGTGAGAAATGTGTCAGAAAGTAACTGCAAGCTGGGGGGAAATATGAGGATTTCAGAAGGTTTCTTGGTTTCAAAACACATTTCACAGCTAGCTAGATCAATAAAGGTAATGGTAATAATTATGAATTATATAATGTGTAGGCAGTAGATTTTGATTGGCTGACCTTAATTTAGAAAAACACGACTTGAAACTAAATGTTTCTATCAGTTTTGAATGTATGTGATTGAAACTACCTTTAGACTTAAACAAATGTCCACCTTTTTCCTATGAATTGTGTGTATGATTGATATTTCTGTGATTCCCATAATCAGACAAAAAACGCACACCTCGGTTTTAAACTGTGTGTGTGTAATTGCAGAAAAGCTGACTGCGTTCGGTAATTAGCAATGACACCTTCGATGTACGGTGCGATTAACTCTGTTAATATGCAAACATCCAAAATGAATTAATATAAATCTTTGGAAGATTTATGGGTTTATTTCACTTGATTACCTGCGATGTGTTACCTGAAGTATATCAATGCTTAACAACTCAGGTATTCTTAACAGAGAGCATTAGGTTTATTTGGAAAGAAATAAGCAGCAGATGTTTGTATTATTTATTTTCCACACACTACAGTTTATACATCTTCAAATATTAAGAATCATAGACGTCATAAAATGTGCTTTACATTGAAATTGCAGCCATTTAGCATTGTTGTGTGCTAAAAATAAATCCCACAGTGACTAATTAAAGCAAATTATGGTCAGAGATGACTCGTTTCCTCCTGTGATTGCATTTTTCGTTGGCTAGCTTTGGATAAATATGTTAACCATGTCTACTGAATCCTGAAAATGTTCTTGTCATATGTACTGACTATGGATTTGTATCTAAATGTAGGGAAATAATGAGGAGAATTCAAAAAGAAAATGTATCTGTTGGATTACTTATTTATCTAAACAGTTATCACAGTAATAAACCGTATTTCATTTAATCTTACTGACTGTACAATATTTCATTTTACATTCTGTTCTTGTGTATATCATATTCTATTTAACTGTATACAGACTTCTTGCACTATTATTTATTTGTATTGTTGGCTCATAAGATTTTCATTACCATTTCTACACTGTAGCTTATGTGCATATCATTTAGTTTTGCACCAACCCTTACTTTTAATTTCCCTTAACACACACACATCTAATAATAAACACCCTTTGTTTTATTTCCTGCAAAGCATCTTGCTGCATCTTAAAGACAACGCTTGGCTTCGGTTTAGAATAAGTTGCTCTTAAAACATAATGGCCCTACAGACAAATCAGAGATCCATCGGTGGAGGAAGGCACTAAATAATTGATGGCTTTAATCTGCTCAGTGAGGTGTGTGGTCTTTGACAGTAATTATAAATGCAGGGAGAAATTATAGCTGAATACTTTAACAGCATTAGGAGTCATCTGATGAACAACGTGATTGCCTGCTCATTTCCAACAATAGGGGGCAAGTTGGTGTCACAGCATTCAAATCACCACAGTGCCCATGTGCTTTTCCCCATTTGCCATCAAATGTCAGTCGGCAGTTATAAAACAAAGATTTGATGGGTGGAGGTAATTGAGGACTTGATTGCTGGAAAAAGAGATGAATTGCATAAAATGTTTATGAATTTAGAAGGCAATTATTTTTAATAGCCTTGAAATAATAGAGCTGGAGGAAATATGTTTAATTGTTATGATACCATCTTGCAGCAACAGCAGCAGCGTTCGCAGGAAAGCAATAAAGTGTGACAAGAAGATGTATCTTAGGGTGTATCTAAAAGTCATAAGGTAAGGGAAGCAATGCAGTGTGCTGTACAGTATGAGGGTGTAGCTGTGAGGTTCTCCGTGGATTTAAAAGCATGCAATAGATGCTGGAGGAATTGTAAAATTAAATATAAGATACGTGGGAAACTTTTTATATTATGGGTTTGTCATTTCTGAAGATTTTCCTGATTATTCCCTGAGAAGTTTGCTCGAAATAAGCAATCATTTGGTATTTCAAACATAAAAATATAGATTGTTTTGGTGAAAGAAAGAAAGGCTTGGTTCACATCCAGGTTAATGTAAATGAATTATTACGTTATTATTGTTCATATTTGGCTCCATACATCTCCAATTGTATATTTTGCTGGTAGCCAAATTTCAAATGTGTGTGACCTTCTGTTCTCGGATTTTTTTTAGATTTCAGTAGTAATGAATTATTATACAAAAAACCTATAGTTTTATTGGGAAACTTTCTTTGGAAATAATCAGGAAACGTATCTTTTGATATTTACAGATATTTGCATAACGCTATTACAATGCATTGGTATAATATAGATCATTATCGTCCTTCTTTTCATCAGTCGGTAAGCATTTTAAAACACTCATCTAAATGATTAGCTGGTAATAATCATAAAAAAAAATAAAAAAATCAAGCTAGTACCTTGGTAAACAAACATTAAAGGAAGAAAAAAGATATACAGGCTGTTATCAAATGTTAACTCTTTATTTGAATAAGTAAAAAAAGGTGCAGGTATCACAGGTATCATCTGTCTTGCTGTTATCCTTGTTGCATGAAACACACTGTTTTTTTTATTCTTCTAAAATATATTTACATGTGAAATATCCTTGTTTCCAAACTGTCTAATTATCTTTGAGTCATGTACAGATTCCGAGTCTAAACTGGTGATTAAACATTTATTAAAGTGCTTTTTTTTTTTTAATCTTCAATCATTTCAACACAAAACATCTTTACATAGCAATACACTGTACAGTTCTGCGTGTGTGTTATCATGTGTCGGGCTACCTGTTTGAACAGCTGCACGTTTATGCAGGTGTGTTGTATCACAGAAGTTGTAAAGTACAATTAGTTAATTATGTTTGTCTTTGAAATACAATTGAAACTTGACATATCATACAAATAAATAGTAGTCATAGCCAGGGCTATTGCATGCAAACATCAGCAATTATGTTTCTTCAAGCAGTAATACACTTAATTACTGGTGATGCATTTGAGCAGGGTGCAAAAGTATCTCTTAGTTAACCTTATACCATTTCTAACCAGTGTGTCTTCGCTGTACTCCATGAAATGTTTCAAATGATGCACACTACACTAATTGAAAAATGGTTGAAATATCTGACCAGTGTATTAAATAAAAAAAGTAAGAAAAAGAAACAAAAAGTGGCAATAATATGAAAAACTACTCCCTGTCCATTTCCACATACTGTGAATGGTTGTCAGGGGATTTGCTGTGAGTTTTACTCAAATGGAGTTTGACTGCGTGATTGCTCGCAAATGTCCGACAGCAGAGCTTACATCTGAACTTTGATTCAATGTCATCGTCTGTGACTAGAGCGTCGGAGGCCCTGACGCTGAGGGCCTTCGACAGTTCTGGCTCGTCCTTCTGGTGCTCTACCGGCATTTGGCCCATGTCTTTGAGTAGGAACCCGAGATGGGACTCCAGATGGGAAATGAATTGGTTGGGTGACCTAAACTGGGAGGCGCAGTCATTGCAGTAGAAGATGGGGTGACCGGTGTCCATGTTCTTCAGAAATTTGGTCCCTCCACTTTTCCGCAGTTGGTATTTTACGTTTGCTAACCAATGGCTTATGGTGGTCATGGACAATCCGGTGAACTTGGAGATGTGCATCCGTTCCTGAGGGCCGAGGTCCGCGAGTAGGTATTTCCCCTCAGAGGTCATGAAGAGGCTGGAGGCGAACTGGGCTTGCAGGATGAGAAGATGCCGAGGGTTCCAGTTCGACTGTCTGCCTTTACGCTTGTGGACGGAGTAAACCTCGGGAGACATGTCCTCAAAGTGCCTGACGTCTGATTCCAGCTTCATCGACGGGATCCGTGACGGTATGGAAGATTTCGGCGTTGTGGCTTTTGGAAGAACTTTCAACATATCTGCGATGTCAGACAGAGCGTATTTCTGTGGCATGGGGGTGGAGGGCTGAAGTACAGAGGAACTCGACTTGCTGTGTTTGGATTTCGTCAGGTCTATCGGTTGGTCCTCACTGACGAATAGAAAGGGGTTATCGGGTATTTTTCTCATCGCATTACCAAGCATTAAAGCTTGGTTCTCGCTGCTACGGTTAAGGTCAGCAAAAATAGACTGGGTGTGAGCTGTGAGTTGATCTAGTCTTGAGTTATTGGACTTATTTGCTTTGCCCAGATGATTGTTAAGAACAGACTGCAGAGCACTAAGAGGGTTTATGCCAAGGAGAGACTGAGTGTCACTGAGAGGCTCTGAAGTAGCGCTGCGTCCATTGCTGGCAGAGGGGCTCGGTGTCTTGCCTCTGTCAGAGAAATCTGGGCTCATCTTCCCTTTGATCGCATCGCTCCCTTCATTCATACAGTCTGCATCAAGCTTTGAAGAGGAAGAGGAATCATCCTGACAATCGCTGTCATCATTCTCCAACAGATCAAACTTAGTATTCTGACTTTCTTTACCATCACTAATCCCAACCTTTTCCTTTTTTATGTCCACATTTTGATGCTGTCCCTGGGGAGCCTCCACTCCCGCAGCCCTGTGGTATGACTTCCCCTTGGGGGCAATCGGTCTCAGCTTGTGGTTAAATGTCTGCTTTAGCTGAGAGGGGGGGGATGGAGAGAGAGGCGCTCTTTTGATGAGGCCAGAGAGCTGATAGGCAGCGTGAATACTCGGGTAGGCACTCCAGCTCGGTGTTCCTGTTTGAGCTTTATTGATGGCAGAGGCCACTGTGTTGGCTAAAGATTTGAGAATGTCCCCTCCTCCCCCAGAGTCCTGTTCAAGATCCTCCTCACGGAGATAAGGGTACTTAAAAGCCCCATTGGCTGCCTTTTGATCCTCACTCTCTTGCTTGTCATCTTTAGTTTCAGTTTCTTCCATTTTCTCTGATGTACCTTCCCCCTGGCCGTCTTTCTCAACACTCCCGGGGGAGGGAATTTTCGGAGGCACCGTTTCTCCCTCTGTGTAACTAACAGCAGGCTCAACTAAACTCTGGATCTTTTCAATGGCCAAGGGGTCAAGGGCTAACTGTTTACCCTTTTTCGAGGCTGAGTTTGTGACTTTGATGAAGTGTCCAGTAACCATCATATGCGTGGTGAGTTGCTGAAGGGTGTCATGGGAGCTTCCACACTCCATGCATTTGAGAATTTGAGACTTGCAAGTCTCAAACTGCCAGGTGTAACTCGCTCCATTCTGATAGCCGTAGCGATTGTTGGTAGCATTTGAAATGGCTGCGGCCCTTTGTGCCTCTGTGTAGCCGGATAAACCAGTGGTGGAGTCAGGGGAGCAAGGTCTCACCGTCTCAAAGCCCCGTTTCTTGGATGGTGGCAATAATTTGGATGTGAGTACTGGGAGTGGCTCTTTTAAAGGCACTTTTTGGTAATGCTTAGTTTTAATCATATGGACGCTCAAATCCTGGAGTGATTCAAAAGAGTGGCCACAGAACATGCACTTCAAAACTTTTTGCGCATCCTCTTTTCCTTCCATATCGTGCAAGTTTCGTTTCCTGGATTTCGAGGACGAACCAGAGGAATTACTCTGTTTGCCGTGGTTGTTGTCCTGGTAGTGTCCACTCTTGCTCATGTGGACCGTCAGCTCTACAAGAGTGTCATAGGCTGCGCTACAATCCTTACAACGAAATCGGCTGGCCCCTGTGAACCCTGAGCCACAGGGTTTAGTGGTTTGCCTGTACAGGTGGACGGAGCTGAAGAGGTTAGGTTTGGCTGTGGGCTTTGGGGAGAGTGTGTGGTGCAGGGTCTTGGAGAGTGCATCCTGGTGCCAGTCAAACTCAGTCTTGGTGCTGTCACAGTTGGCTTTTCTGTCACAGTTGGCTTTTCTGTCACAGTTGGCTTTTCTGTCACAGTTGGCTTTGCTGGCGCTTTTGCCAATTTTTAAGTCCATCCCTATCCCTGTCCAGTAAGAATCAGAAAGAAAGTTTGCATACGCCGCCCTCATCTTCTCCAAGCTGCCGCCCGTCTCCTCTTTATGCTTAGAGCTGAGACTTTTGTCATCCTTCTCGCTCACAGGTGGCGAGAAGGTTTTGAAGTCTGAGAGTCTGTCACTGGTGTCGCTAAGGCGTGACACTAACTCTAACTCGGCTTCTTGATTGGAAAGGACACTGATGGGTGAGTTCTGGTTGCTAAAAGTGTTGTTGCTCTTGTTGTCCAGCTCTCTGTCCTCGGACACTTTGGGGCTGGCCTTCTCTGAGCCTTCCTCTTCAGTTTGAGTGTCGTTCTCGCCGTCTTCCTCAGGAACGGGATCCTGAAGAACACCATCTTCATACACTGGAAATGGAAGAGAGAAAAGAGATTAATACACTATGTCAAAAGAAGTCGAGGAAAAGTTATTCACAAGATACAATAGTTACAAAATCTTCATGCGTCAAGTATTGTTTTTTTGTGAAGTATAAGTCACGGAGGCCTTTAAGGACAACATAATGGTGTCTATGTTGTGCCTTGGGAGGTTGGAGAGTAGACTGGACGTAATGTTTTTACTAACAGACTGCTGCTGCTGGTGTAACGGCACCATGTGATTCACGACAGGCCATTGACTTAGTGCTGTGGCCAAGGTTTTTTCTGGCTTCAAGTTGAGATGTTTACAACAATCATTGGCCACTGAGTGACAAAAGGGAATTGATTCTTCTGGGGCCTGCTAAGTGTTATTGTAAATGACCGATTCCATAGTGATTATGGATGTCCCAAAACTGCAATGAAAATGAAAGCCTTCCGTTCTGGATAACATTTCAGCTTCCCTGAAACCACATGTTAGAAATGTGTTAACGCAAACTAGTCTTAATACATACAAAATATTGACTTAAAAGAGATCAGACAACTTCTTTAGATATGTGGCCATTAAGCAAAATAAAAAATATGTTGCAAATGTGATTGTGATGCTGATGATTATGTTGATCTAACTTGTGTAAAAAAAGCTGATTTAATTATCAGTGTAAAAAACGACACCATTAAAAAACAGATTCAAAGAATTACTGGCAATCTGTCACGTCATTATATTTTCCCTGACAGTGTCATAAACAGCAATTACTTCTTTCATTATTCACCTGTTCATTCTCTCAACTCATAGAACACAAACATTATTGCTTCAATTAACAGATAATTAAACAACAGTATTTCTAATTGACACAGTTCCCATCATCCAATTAGTGGGAACTCTGACTCAGCATAGCGGGGCTTTTCATGTGGCTGCAGGGTTTGCACGACATAATATGAACACAGCCACAGATGATTAAAGTGTCCTCTTCTGGCAATAACTATTTCTGATTATTTAGAATCTAAACATCCAGCAACCCACACAACAATATCACAGCCAATGTTAGCATATCTTTTGAAGACATTCTGCCATAAATACAGTTTGTCAGTGCTGTCACATATCCAAGATCTTTTACGCCTCATAGGCATGCTGGAAATGTGCATTTTGGGAGAGACGTGGCAGATGTGCTCTGAGTTAAATATGAATAGGACATAACAACCCTGTCCAGGCACTTATGCATTTCATGTGGTTAATATTTCTCTCCTGAATAGAGGGCACTCCACGAGGGGGATGGCTGAAGACGAGCACTCAGGAGTCCCACACTGGGCAGCCCATAGAATGTCTTCCCCTTTTTTTGCCTTCGGAAAATAAAACTTTTTTTATTATCAATATTTCACAAGTGCCTCAAGAGAAACCCTGGAGGTGAATGCCTGCCAGCTAATGGATGGAGATGGGATTCGGACTTTCAAAACAAACATGGACAATGGGGCCTCGTGAACAAGAGCCTGCACACACACACTCGCACCCAAGAGCCCCGGTGTGCTGTGACCTTGATCCACCGCAAGAGAGATGGTTTGATTGGCCAACCGAGATCGGTGATGGCCTCCAAAACACCCTTGATGCTCAGGGAGAGAGTTGTCAAGAGCACACAGGAATGTTTTATTTATAGTCTTATATCTAGTATTCACAGTGAAGGAGAACACCAATGGCTATGACAAGCTCCAACTTGATGTCCTCTCTCTTCAAAGTCGTCACTAAAACTAAAGGACTGGGAAGAGCGTAGACCAAAGTGGGGAGATGAGCATTTTTCCAGTCCAGTGAGAAATGGCTAAAATCCTGGTATGCACCATCATATACAGTAAAGACCATTTCCTGCATATTTGATGTAGCTTATAACTCCCAAATGTATGCTTCGCCTACCCGATGTGTAAGATAAATGTGAGTTTCACAAAGACGGAGAAACTGTTTTCCTGGAAATGACCACTTACATGTAGTTCAATTTGAATGTTAATGTTTACGTCTTATCGTGGTATTTGAGGATGGAATTGACCGAGATTAACAGCTGCCCTTCCTGCTGTTCGACGCCGTTCTATCAGATGCCCTAAGTATCAGATATCCAGAGGCTCCAATTAACCTTCTGGCAGGGATCACTCCAAGATATCCACAACTCTGTCTTACTCCGCTTCTCACACCATGTGTAACCATGCTTTTGGTCTAACCACTGTAATGCTGCCATGCCAGGCTGCCTTATTCTCATACAAGAGCATATTCAAGGACAATGCCAACACCTTTGAAAAGTTCATTGAAACAAGTTTTGCTAAGAATACAGAATGAAATGGGGATAGGCCATAGGAAAAAGTCAATGTTAAAAGAACTGGTGGATCACCGTTTAACAGTAAAAAGGGTAGAGCAGAATCTGCTTGTTCTCAGGCACATTTTTTACAACTTACTGTCTGCTTTGAAAATATTGTCTGTGAGTCCAAGCAAGGCAACTCCCAGTCTAACTAGCCTTACAAAACAAGAGGCTGGCATGCCTTGCCTGAGATTTAGCATGTCATAAACTGCTGTAAAACCTCCAATCTGTGTCACTACAAATGTATATCTTCAGACAGAGATATGCAAAGGTCAAAAAACCTGAGGTGTCCATCATAAATCAGGCAGTTGAAGTGTTTATAACCTTTATCCGTTAGAGCAGACTCTTGGCATAGCAAGGCCTAGATTTACAGAAGTCTATTTCTGAGCCAAAAGGCTTTTTCCCCTTGCATCTAGAGAAACCAGCATAGGAAACAGTACATTACATATACTGCTACATTTGAGGCAGCAGCTGTCCAACTGGATTGCTGCTAAATGCTTACACGACAATATATTTACAACTCAACTTCGAGCATTAGTATCTTCCTGGAGTACACAATCCCTTCTCCCTTGTGTAAGTGAGTCTATTCAAAATGTGTCAATCATTTTGGAAATCTGTGTGCCCGCTGTAAAAGGGCGTTCAGGTTCCAATGTTAACATGTCAGTAGGAACTTTTGTAAATTTGAGAACGTCAACATTTATCCCCTGGAAGGTCAACATTTCCTTCATTAATCTGACAAGCCAGGGAGAGTTAGCAGCCTGAGGAGCTTAGCTAATGGACAGCTGCAATACCCAGCGCAGGACTTTGTGAGTATCCGAGGTAACACTATCTTCAGAGAAGATTGGGTAATTCATAGGTGCCAGTGACAGGTCTGCACGTCTGTGCCACTTTCCCCAGCGCTCTCCGGTTGTCTCAAGCTACAGTTTTTGCTGCTCGCAAATCAATATCTCTTTTTACTTCTCATTGATTGCCTTGTGGTGGGACCAACCTAAGCAGGACTGTTATGACATTTCTAGATTTCCCCCTGTCCTTGGAACAATCAATTACACGCGCATGGCAATCAAAACCTCTTTGCAAAATGAACCTGCTCCATGACATTTTCATCTCCCGGATTTATGCCATGTTAGAAAAAAAAAGGAAAAGACGAGAATAAAAAAAGGAGGCCTGCTGTAAAGGCGGAGAACGTTCCACGTTCAGGATCACTGAGCAATCTCTAGTCTGTCTCAATAACTATGGTGTGTTTTCACTCACATGTAAGCAATGTGTTCAATGAATTGTCCGTTAATTTAAAAAACACTTAGTCACCGTGCTTATCTGCTGTTATAAATAGGTGTGAAATGTCAGTGGGAAAGTACATGATGTACAAACCCTAATTCCAAAGTTTTGCAACGTTGGAAACAGAAAGAAGTGTTTCTGAAAGCCGACATGATGTGATTGTGATTTCTTCAGTGAGCTATCATTAGAATGAGAAACACATGTCACGAGGTTTAATATTTGACAGTGATATCTGACGAACACGGTGAGAAGTGAACGTCAAGATCAAACGGATACATTGTCAGACATCCTGATGATAGTCTTGATGACACATCTGAAGTTAAGACTGAACCGAATCACTTGAGATATTGCAAGGAGCTAATTCTGAGCCCCGGAGCCATCTGTAAAGATCTGTAAACACTTCTCTCTTCATTGTTCCATGTCAGGAATCAGTCTCCTCGAGCCCAAGGACAATGCAGAGTAAATAGAGAACAATCACATTCAGACTGCTCCCTTTGACAACATTTGTCTGGAGGTTAATTGATATCACAGAATTAAATAGTTTTTGACTCGCTTTTAAAAATAGGAATGTGTCGTTAGCTCCCACCTGGTCCATTATTTCATTCCAACACTTTTAAATGACATTCTTAATAGTCCTCAAGACTCTGCAGACACAATGTAACTCAGTCTATCACATTGTTATCAAGAGTATTGTGATACACATTCTGGTAAAAATAAAAAGCACCATACATAAGTTAGATAATGAAAAAGGGGGTTAAAAAGCACCGAAAAAGTGGTTTGTTGGAGCTTCCTGAGGATTTCGCTACAAAACCATCAGACGGAAACACTCATGTTCATTTTTGTATGCATGAAGGAGATGTTACCTAAAGCACATTACGTACTTCACTAAACACAAGCTATTCATGCAGATAAATGCCTTGCTTTCATACGCCCTCAACTTTAATATTTTATAGTCTAATATAATCAAATGAAAACTCGCATCTCCAACAAAGACGCGGACAACTCGAGGACAGATTGTGAACACAGCAAACAGCACAATGTGCTCAGATGGACCGAGAGCCAGATTAATGAGAAGATCGCAAATATGACACCATATCCTGCCATCTGGCTGTTCATTTGGGCAAAAATGATCACAATAATTATGGCAATTAATCAAAAATGTTTTCACAACCAACATTCTGTTAGCTAAAAACACAGAGAACTTTGGGAAGCACAGCAACAAACACAAAGGAATCTCCAAAGGGAGGCAGCCTGGGCTACTTTCTATGCAATTGTACACATTTCTATGAGTCTGTCTTTGTATGAACGCTAATCATGATATTACTGAGCCACATCTGATTGCCCTGCATGAAGCTGCAGGAGCTCCGTGATGTCACCGAGCGACGCTG